CTCAACTAGTCATGTGCCTTTTGCCTTTTTTATTTGTCTTCTCAGTGTAACACATTGTCTGTTTTGTGTGCAGATCCTGGCGAATCCCAAGCATCAGTTCAACACAAGCTCATTGTATAAGAATGTAACGCTGGTGGCATGGGATCCTGCTCCATACATCCTCAACCTGCACAAAGTGAGTACTAACTTCCCAAAAACACATTAAACACACATAGAATTTAACGTTGAAGGTGTGCTTTGACGTCTTCAAACCGTCTGCACAATCACAACTCTAGAAATTATTATTTATTTTTTTTCTTGCACATGTACAGAGAGCAGGTGACATGTTACTTTTGCAATTCAGATGAGTGAAGTGCTGTGAGTGTGTGCAGGAACCATGTGGGAAGCTTACTCTGATTTGTCTGGTCTGAGTGCTTCTGCTCACAAACCGCTGTGAATCATAAACCACTATAGCAGGGGAAAAAAAGATCAGAACGGATTACTATAAATGCTTTCAATCTGTCCTTTGTGCCCTTACCTCACTGAAACCGCCTTACAACACCATTTCTCATGTTCCCAATCCCATCCTCCCCCAATAATGTAGACATGAAATAAGGCATTCACGAGATGCACACAGAATAGATGGCCATCTCTATGCTGCTTTACCTTGACTGACTAAACCTCCCACAGAGTAACATCATGTCTCTGACAGGATGTGTGCCATCCTATGACCTCGTGCTTATGTGAAGAAGACATGACAATTGCACCATTTCCATAGCAGGTCTTTTGAAAATGAAGGACAAAATCTTCAAACCAGTGTTGTTGTTGTTGTTGTTTATTAATTTTTATAACACTTTATTTGGAATAACTGTCAATGTTTTAAATGAATTATGCATGAGTCTGTGTTGATCAGTTTAATGCTTAGTTTTATTTTTTTATTTTCATAGCATAACAGTAAGCAGTCTACAGGATATAGTGTGAAATAATCAGTCAGTTTGAGGCTAGATTTCAGTTTCACAACTTGTGATTTGTTCTCTAAAACAGGAATTCCTAAACTGTTTTGGTCAGCTTACCCTCTTAAAATATTTACTTGAAGATTACTTGAATAATTTAAGTATTTCAATTTAACATATTTGCATGATAATGACTCTTTGATGTTGGTTAATGGTCATATGACATGCAGGTAAAAAAATAAATATTATACTGTTTATAAGTTATTAGCTTTTCATAAACTCATGAAAACTCTTCATCAACTCTTTAGTTCCTTCACAAACACCAGTTTGTGAAACCTTGGTGTAGAGAAATGATTCTTGACTACAATGTCAGAGGTCACAGATTGAAGGTCTTCTGCTGTTTCTACTAAGTAACATTATTGAGGTTACTGCAGGAACATGTGCATTAAAGGATTCTAGTGGATTGTAAAGCTTTTTTCTGAACAATTCTTCATCTCAATGAACCAGGACTAACAGTTTGAAGGACAGCCTTCAATGTTCATCCTTTCACAATTGTCCCTGGTTGAAATGAATCCAAGCAACACATTCTTACTCCCAACTCTTCACATATTGATGCTTGGTCAGGACCCTTTGGCATCACTTTTTGTGAGAGGAATAGACACGATCGCAGTCTCCCTCCACTCCCTCCATTGGCTCTTGTGTGTCTCTGGAGTATCTTTTTGAATGAGATGCGAGCGTGTTAATGGAGCAGGATCATTTTCAGCGATTAAAACCTTATGTTTTACTCTTTTCTTCGCATAAAGATTTCGTATGGCTTCAGAAAACTTGGAATGCAACACGACTTGTTTGTAATGCTTTTATACTGCTTGGTTATGGTCAGTTTTTGCAATAAATACCTGTGACAGTACTTTTATTTGCCTGCTACGTGTTTTACATTGCTCAGAAGTGGGTAGGGGTGGGGTTAGGTGCTCCAATGAAAGTATACATTTATATAAAAGAATTTACATTTTTTACAAATGCATGCAAACCATTCAATTAAGACCAACAACTGAAAACAATGGAGGACCCTGCACGTTCGAAAAATTATGCTAAAAGGGTACCTTGAGCGTCAAAAAGCGACGCAAGGGGTCCTGACCAAGCGTCAATATGTGACGAGTTGGGAGTGAGAACGTGTTGATCCAGATTTGGTAGTTCTTTTGAGAGACATTTTGCTCATATAGTTGTTGTTTGTTTTTGTAGTGGTACTCCAATCCAGACTACAACCTGTTCACTCCATATATGGAGCACAGGATGCACTTCCCCACGCAGCCTTTCTACATCCTGCACCCGAAATACATCTGGCAGTTATGGGACGTGATTCAGGCTAACAATCTGGAGAACATCCAGCCCAACCCGCCCTCCTCAGGGTTCATAGGTAAGACACACACACATATTTTGTGCTACCGGTACAAAACCCAAAGGTGCAATTTAAGTGGCACAAACAAGTAAAATTGCAACAATAATGACTGTCTTCAAACATCTTTCACAGTCCCAACCCAAACTTTTGCCAGTATTTGAAGTGAAATTGTCAGTTGTTCAGTCAGACAGCTCAAACAAACTGATTGCAGTTATTCTTCTTCTTATTATTATTATTTATTTTTATTTTTTATTTTTTTGTGGTACAGAAATTACAGACTTCTTGTTGTGGTCTCTAAAGAAATTGGCTGTACTTTTAGGAACCTGTGCATGAAGACAACACAAATGTTTTATTTGCCTCTCAATTGTGTCACATTTGTCATCAAGTGAGTACTACCATTAATGCTAGTTGTGACACTTCACCAGAGCAGCTAGTTGACAACTCAAGAAGGCACCACAAATTGTTCACTTCACTTTTCTACTCCTGTCTTTGTCCTATTGGTTTTATAAAGCTCACAAAATGGCACTTGTGGCTGTCAGGCATGTGACAAAAAAGAATTTTGTACAGCGCTAATTCAGAATGGCTATCAGTGGAAAAAGCCAAACTGACCTCTGACGTAAACGCTGATTAGAAAACACCCTGATGATGGAAAGCGACATTTTGCAGATTGAGTTGTCATGATGGGTTTGTAGGCACGTCTTCTGCTCTGTCAGGAGGTTGTGGGATGTCTGCTCAGTCTGTGTTGGCTGAAACCACAGGGAGAGAGAGGAGCAGATGGACACACCACGTTTTCATCCAGCAATGGAGCTTGTGTTGAACTAGAGCCAAGGAGAATCTGACCCACATTCAGCACCAACAAAATCACTCTGACCATATGTACAATCTCGCAGAATTTATGATTAAAGTCACGATAAAACAGATCAAACGTCACGGTATGAAAGAAAAGATCTGTCAAAACTTCCCAGTGAAACAGATTATCAAAAAAGGAAAAAAAAATGTTGGGTAGAACTTGGTTCAGTAGATCAGATATTGCTTGCAGTCAATCGTAAGAAAGGTGCAGAATTTAAACGAACTGAATGATTGGAGAAGTCTGGCACATGTCACCGAAGAAGGCTGTAATTTTTACTGTGTGTGTGTGTGTATATATATGTATATATGTGTGTGTATATATGTGTATATATGTATATATATATGTGTATATATATGTGTGTGTGTGTGTATATTAGGGCTGTCAGTTTAACACGTTAATTTAATTGGTTATAAGAAATAACGCAATTAAAATATTTTAACGCAGTTAACGCACTGGCCCCGCCCCCAGAACTGTACATCATCTTACATTATACAGTGGACAGTTGACAAATATGATGCAGGGCAACAACTCCATGAAGGCAGTTATGCCCTAAAATTCAAAATATTGGTGCAAAAATGCCCCTGTATGTGTTTTGGTCTCATTTATATAATACAATATCACACGAGCAGGGAGAGCAGTAGGCTATTACACGAGTGCTGATTTTTGTCCCGAATATCACGAGTTTAAATGTGATTTTATACAACAGTTCAGTAAATAATAAGTTGATATTGTGTTATATTTTAAACACAATATTATGTGTTTTTTCTCAATTTTGCAAAGAATATATGTGACCCTGGACCACAAAACCAGTCATAAGGGTCAATTTTTTTAAACTGAGATTTATACATCATCTGAAAGCTGAATAAATACGCTTTCCATTGATGTATGGTTTGTTGGGATAGGACAATATTTGGCCGAGATACAGCAATAAAAGACAAAACTAAACCTCTTGGTAAGTTATCATAGTAACTTACTCTGTGAACCTAACCTTGTCTGGAGCAGGTTTACTAAACCCAGAGTTTCTTTCGGTCTCCTCCACCTTTTTAAAGTGTAAGCAATGTTTAAATACCTCATTCATTAATTCATGCTGCAAAAATGCTTTTATTGCTGAGATTTTTGCATTAATTCAAGTTCAAATATCAAAAAAATCTTAAATCAAGATGCATTTTCTATATAAGAAAAATTATATACAACAGTCTTGTTTCCTGAGGGAAACAAGTAAAATTATCTGCCAGTGGGGTAAGAAAAATAATCTTAATGCAAATGGAAACAAGATTATTTTTCTCACCGCACCACTTTCATTTTCATCATGCAGACACTGTAAATGTGACACAAATGGCATGTCTTTTTACACACGATCCTGTAGATGAGGAGGCTGCATTAATTCATGGGGAGTTACATATACATCAGGAGAGGATTCCATTTTATTTAATTTATTTTTGCCATATCCACGTGTATATTTATTTGAGAGGTATCATCTTGATCACATGATAACATGCTGCGACCTCTGGAAGTAACCTAGTAATTGGAATTTACTTTAGGATTTCCAGTGTGGTTGCATTGATGGCACGCATATTCCTATCTTCGCACCTTCAGAAAATGAAGCTGATTGCTGTATGGAATGGAACGATGCCAGATGGAAGGGTAGTTCGAGATATATGCTGTAACCACCACCACAGCTGTTAAACATATTCACAATTTATTTTGTCAACTTTATTTCCTATGAAACAATTATTCTTTTCCCTGTTGGATTTTAATATTGGTATTGTGGCCATCTCTTCATCTGTCAGTTGTGCTGGTGCAGGTTCTCCCCCCATTTTACGAGTCTCTGCCTTCTTGCTGTTGGCTGAATAGAAGTCAAATGTTTATTTCATTACCGTAATTAAGAAATGTAGCATGGTGGATTAGAGAACATTTAATTATGTGAAAAGAGCATTAGACTATGTGGGAAAAGCCGCTGCACATTGAAATAGACACTGAATATTTATTGAATGTCAAATGTTTGTAAAGTCATGTAGCCTACACTCATGAACCTTTTATGCTTAAAGCTATACCTGATTGAATTATTTTTTTTTTTTTTCTGCTGCCAGGTTTTTTTTTGTTTTTTTTTTGTGTGTCTGTGGGATACCATGAAAATGAATATTAGTTCAATAACTTACCGTTCTGCCAGTTTTTACCTTTGATATTATAACAGTGATTAAGAATTAAAGTTACGTATTGACCCAGAAGTATGCAAACAATACTTTTTGGCGGGTGCTGTTGCCATGGTGAATCTCAATTTCGGATCTCCATTGATCATGGCTTCTCATAGTCATGGTGCACACGCTAAACTCAGTCAACCTATAGAGTCAATTGAACTAACTCTGTTCAGTTGTTCTGAACCCGAAAACTCAGAGTTTCCCATCTCAGAGTAAGTCAACTCAGAGTTCAAGTTTTAACTCAGTTTGTTGAATACTGTTTCTGAATGAATCCGCATTTTGTACGAATCGTGTGAATCAATGATTCAAAGGCCCATTCATAAAGCGCTGTTTACTGAATTTCTGAATGAATCAGCCGTTTGAACAAATCGAATCAATTACATTTACCACCACCTGCTGGCAGATTTAGTTTCTTATTTAGAGTATCATATAATTAATAATAATAATAATAATAATAATAATAAAAACATTAGAGATAGGTCATCCAAAAAAATTTAAATTCTGTCAATTTATTCTCACGTCCCTCGTGTTGTTTCAAACCTTTCTTTTGTGGAACATAAATGAAGGTATTTTGAAGACTGTTGGTAACCAAGCTTTTTTGGTTACCAATGACTTTCATTGTATGAACAAACAATACTGCGATGTTTCTCAAATGATCTTCTTTTATGTTCCATATTTTATGTTCGGCCGTTGTTGCCCATGTTTGTGTAGTAATATTTTTTGTTGTCGTTGAATCAAATAAAATATTTCTAAAGCTACAATTTGTAATGTCTACTTAATACTTTTTCATTTAACACAAATATCTTTAAATAATTTTTTGTGGGTATTTTCAGTCAAATTTATTTTGCGATTAATTGTGATTAATCAAAACATCATGTAATTAGATAAAAAATTGTAATCGACTGACAGCCCTAATATATTTATTTATAGATGATTTATATTATGCATAAATATAAATATATTATGTATTTCTTAAATATATACATGTACGTGTTTGTTTATATAATATGTATATGTACATGTTAATACAAACTTTTATTTTGGATGCGATTAATCATGATTAATTGATTTGTCAGACTCGGCACTAATTTATTTAAAAAGGAAGCACACACAGATGAATTGTTCACAGTAAGATCTAAAGAAATCATTGAGATTGCTTCAGGCTCCGTAAGTAACTGCCCGTAGCTACAGATCTTTTTGAACAGGTGTTAGATATCCAATCATATCGCAGACACATCCAGACTGCTCACAGATGTAGAGCCTGTTTCTATGGTGACGTCTGCAGAAGTGTGGAGTGGCATACGGTGGCATCTAAATGTTTTTTTTTTCATTCATTGGAGGAAAAGAGAAGGCAGTGCCTCCACTGAACTATGATTGGCCTATTATAGTGTTCACACGTTAAATCTGCCTCTCGTTTTCACAAAACTGACTTAATGAATAATGGAGTTAATGAGAAAACTAAATAAACGGTAAACAATTCACCAATTTACTGTAGATATCACCGCTTTCACTTAACATTCAAACTTTAAATGACTCTGAAAACATGATCCAACCAGCACTAATACTGGTATAATCGGTTTAAATGTGGATACCGTATTGGTGTGGAAAATTATTTTGTGCCAACTCCAAGTCTAGTATGTAATGCTGCTTATGTTTTGTACAGTGTGAAACTAATGTGACACTGATCTTGTGTTATAAAAAGACCATTAACAGTCATTTAAGGCTGTTTATGCCTCCCCCATTTATAAAAATCACAGACAACTTTACACACATTGTTCTCATAACTCATTAACTTTTGAGATCAATCTGCGGTGCTCTATTCATAGAGTGATCTGCATTTATACTTGAACAACAAATGGCACAACAAATCGACTGGCAAACATCCAGTTTGTAATGTCATGACAATTACAGATAATTTCTGGGTACAAATAAACAGATACTTACAGTGGGGAAAATATTTATTTGATTCCCTGCTGATTTTGTAAATGTGCCCACTTACAAAGAAATGAAGGGTTTGTAATTTTTATGGTAGGTTTATTTTAACGTATAGAGACAGAATACCAACCAAAAAATACAGAAAAAAACACATTATATAAAGGTTAGAAATTGATTTTGCATTTCAGTGAGTGTAATAAGTATTTGATCCTCAAGCAAAACATGAACTTGGTGCAGAAACCCTTGTTGGCAAGCACAGAGGTAAGACGTTTCTTGTAGTTGGTCACCAGGTTTGCACACATCTGAAGAGGGATTTTGATCCACTCCTCTATTTACAGATCCTCTCTAAATCCTTAAGGTTTCTTGGCTGTCGTTTGGCAACTCGAAGTTTCAGCTCCTTCCACAGATTTTCTATAGGATTGAGGTCTGGAGACTGGCTAGGCCACTCCATGACCTTAATGTGCTGCTTCTTGAGCCACTCCTTTGTTGCCTTGGCAGTATGTTTCGGGTCATTGTCATGCTGGAAGACCCATCCATGACCCATCTTCAGTGTTCTGGCTGAGGGAAGGAGGTTCTCATCCAAGATTTTACAGTACATGGCCCTGTCTATTTGCCCCTCAATGCGGTGAAGAAGAAAAACAGCCCCAAAGCATGTTTCCACCTCCGTTCTTGACTGTAGGGATGGTGTTCTTAGGGTCATAGTCAGCATTTCTCTTCCTCCAAAAAACACGGCGAGTCGAGTTAATGCCAAAGAGCTCAATTTTGGTCTCAACTGACCACAGCACTTTCTCCCAATCCTTCTCGGAATAATTTAGATGTTCATTGGCAAACTTTAAACGGGCCTGTACATGTGCCTTCTTGAGCAGGGGGACCTTGCGGGTGCTGCAGGATTTCAGTCCATTGCGGCGTAGTGTTACCAATGTTTTGCTTGGTGACTGTGGTCCCAATTGCCTTAAGATCATTAACAAGCTCCTCCTGTGTAATTCGGGGCTGATCCCTCACCTTTCTCATGATCATCCTTACCCCATGAGGCAAGATCTTGCATGGATCTCCAGACCAAGGCCGATTGATGGTTGTTTTGTATTTTTTCCATTTCCGAATAATCACACCAACAGCTGTCTCCTCACCAAGCTTCTTGCTGATGGTCTTGTAGCCCATTCCAGTCTTGTGCAGATCTACAATCTTGTCTCTGACATCCTTTGACAGCTCTTTGGTCTTGCCCATGGTGGTGGGAGAGGTTGGAATGGA